GCCACAACCAACTGCATAGCTTCAACCAACTCGACTTCACATCCTTTCCCTGGAAACCTTCCATGGCCAGAACAGAGCATAGTAGGGGGTGAGTCACAGCCTCACATTCAAAACTGCCCCCTCAGCCACAGCCTCAGTGATTCCTGGAGTCCAGTGCAGAGGGGATTAGCAGGGAGAAGAGCACTTCAGGCCTACCCTGCAGGTGACGGACTCCCTTGTCCTCATGCCCTGTTGTCCAGCAGGGAATAGGGGGTCTCAAGATTTTTTAATGCAACAGTTACAACAACATTACCTGTACCCCACCTGTAACAGGCAAAAGTAATACCTCTGCTGATGCACAAATGGAGAATAGGGAAAGGAAGAAAGCCAATTTATAACAAAAGGGAAATTAAGAGTCTCTTACAGATGTAATATTTATTCTTTCTGAATTCAGCTCTCTTTTTGCTTCTCAAATATAGTGTAAGGAATGTCTCCATTTCATGCTGATTAAGCATGGATTAAACTCTAATTTGGACTTCAGGTATATTAAGGAAAGAAAACAGTTTTCAAAAGAGTTATTCCCAAACTATGAAGTATGAATGTGGTGGAAAACAGATGCTTTAAATCAGAGCATACTGTAAAATCTCTAGCACATGTTTGCCTCCTCCTAGGTCATTAAATACAAGGCAGCGAGCAGCTGGGAAGCTGCAGTCTATAGGGGAAATGGAAGTTAATAGATGGATTAGCCAGAGTGAAAACAGAGTAATGTAGCAGCAAAAACAAGGCCAGTGTTTTTGGAGTGATCCTGGGTCTGGAGGGAGCTGGAATAGTGGAGGGCTTTGGACAAATTACTAAATTTAAACCATGTATGGAAATATTTTTCATCACACAATATTTACGCCCTCTGATGAGGTGAACATGCTCAAACCAGTTCTCCTTTAAACTGCATAGCATACTGCTGAAACAATCAATTGTTCACAGAAGTGGCTAAAAGTAACATTCCTCCCTGTCCCCCAGGAAACACACACATACACGCACCAATCCTGATTTGGAAAGCAGAGATAAGATGTCAGTATTCAGAATTTATGAAGCTTCACTGTCCTTTCAACTCGCTGATGTACTACTAGACACTCATTACCTCAGTCACTGTAAAAAGGAAAAGGTGAAAGAACATAAACATAAATCTGCAATCAAAGGTAAAAGTGACTTGAGCAAATGTATCAAGGGCTGCAAATAAAAAAAAAACAAAAAGAAGAGAGAGAGAGCAATCTCCACTGTGCCTTTCATTGAAACACGCTGCATTTCTTGGCTTTAGTACTTTCTTCCCTACTCTTTCTGCCTGCCCTCATCCAAACTGTCCTCTCCACTCACAGCACTGGCATTCATGCCTCTTGGCAACATGTGTTTTGTGAGCAAAATGTGGGGGCCCTTGCCACTTCCATCTGGAATTACACTAGCGAAGACGTCTAGCCAATAAAAGGTCGAAGAACTAGTAAGAAAGTAGACCTACACATGATCCAGTCCTATGGGAGCTCACTGCACACAGAACTTGCAGGATAAGATCTGTGAATGAGATTTTAGGGTTAAAGTATGAGCAATTGCAAGAGCTTTAAAGAAATATTATCTTATATAATTACTCTTTTTAGATAACAAGGTTATTCCCCTCTGCATGCCTCAATGTGGCTACTGCAAGTTCTGTTTGAACCCTAAGACCAAATTTTGTGAGAAGATCAGGTAGGAACCACGAAGAATTAACTTCCAGCGAACCGATTCTGCAAACACATGGAGTTACATCTGAGCT